GGTAAATACTGTGTTTTACAGATGTATCAGTGAAATCGTGAAGTCGGAGATAGACAGCCTCATCTCACAGTAACAGTGGGTGAAAGTTTCAAGACAGGTGGTGTGTGCTGGCAAATACAGCTGGAATGGGTTACTGTAGGTTCTAGATTACGACTGGGTGCTTGGTATTGATGATATTAGCACTCTTTGAAGGAACCTACCTCACAAGTCTTATCTATGCATGAAATAAAGTATTGGACTTCAAGCCCTGTGGTGGTTTCCCTTCGCGCCCACGCTGGCGCCCTCTGGTGGAAATCTGCGGGCCCCGCAAGCATTATACTGAAATAGTTGCACCTTGTTTAGGTTCTCAGTGAGCTGAAGCCCAAGAAGAGTCCTAGAAACTGCTCCCTCGACCCAGCAAGCCTCTTAGCTCCCAGGAAAAGCGTTGTTTGCGCCTAGAGAATTAAACAGCAGTTCAGAAGGAGAAAGAGTCAAATGACAGATAAGAGAACATAGCACAGAACGCCTCTCCTTTGATGTGGAGAACTGTTCTTGGACGCCACTGGCTTGCCCTTTGTTGTTGCTCTCTACTTGTTTTACTTGGAAAAGATTTTTGGCTTTTGTCAAGGTCATTATTTTTAACAGAGTCGTACTTATGTCTTTTATCATTAAAAAAATATTTCCAAGGGGAAATCCTTCAATCAACTATTCTGAGCATGTTTTCAACACCATCACTGTTTCTCTCCTTTCTTACTAAGTAACTTTTGTGGACATCAAGCAAAGAGATACACTTCCACCTTTCCACTGTTTCCCATTGCGGCCTAGAGTTCGTGGCCACTGTGTGTCCTCTTAAGAGAACCTCTGGGATATTTTACACTTCCTTCTTGTGAATGAGAGTGTACGTCAAGCCTGACAGAAGTATTTCTGCCATGTGATCTTTCACTAAACAAGGATTCAGCTCTATGGAAAGAGGCCAGAGAGCCAGGGGAGTAGACATTCCAGATGTGTCCTTTTGTGTAGCCTGTTTCTCTCTCCTTATTAAATCTGGTAGGAGATTTCACATGCTTGGGAGCAGGGATAAGTGACAAGATACAAAAGGATGCAGAAGAGATAAAGAGACCATTAGAGCATATACTTGAGGGCAAGTAGGTTTTTGATAAGGGAACTGTAAACATTAATCACATTGCCAAAAATTGATTTACAAAATAAAAGGAAATATATTTGAACAAATTAAAAACTAGAAATTCTGAAACTAAATTCCTGAGAGTTGGGATGGAGTGGTATGTTGTATTAAAAGCAGAGAAAAACATCTATGCTAAAGATCTCTTTCTGTTGAAGTCAGAAGCCATTGGTTAATTTTTCAAGTTATTTAAAGACATCAGTGTAGAGGTGCTTTCAGATAGAAGGGTAACATCTAGTAGAATAATAATAGACATTGGAACTCCAAACATCAAATGAGAAGAACAAACAAATATGATCAATTCAGCAAGATATAGGAAAATTAAACACATCATAAAGCCAATTTTACCAGTGAACATATTGAATATTACTAATACTTCTCCTATTGAAGGGAAATTTTTTCAAATTATGTCCAAACTATAGAATATTTACAAGACACTGAGAAAGAACACAATATCAGATAAATATTTCAAATGATATGATGAATAAAGATGGACCAGGAAAAGACTATCTTCAAATAGTTTAAATCCACATAGGAAACACTTGTGACCACAATGACCAAAAGACAAAACTATTTACACTTCTGAAGTCTTGGAAAGTTGCTGGCTTCCCAATATTTTTTTCACATAGAAGGAGCTGTGTTCTAACCAATAATTTTTAAAATTCTTTGATTTTCAGGAAGTTTCTTAAGACTTTCACTTCACTGATGGAAAAGACAGACAAGAGAAGCCCTCTGGGATGGCAGAGGAAGAACCTCTGGGTATCTTCCTCCCAAAGGGCAACGAGAATACTAGAAAACTTTTGATTTACAAAATAAAAGGAAATATATTTGAACAAATTAAAAACTAGAAATTCTGAAACTAAATTCCTGAGAGTTGGGATGGAGTGGTATATTGTATTAAAAGCAGAGAAAAACATCTATGCTAAAGATCTCTTTCTGTTGAAGTCAGAGAAAAAAGATGAAATACAGCCTCAGAGGCTTGCAAGACCTCAATACGTGCACGTGAGTAATGAGAATCTCTAAAGGAGCAAAAAGAAGGGAATAGAAAAGCAGTATGAAGACGTATGACTGAGAATCCCCCAAATTGAATGAAATATAATTCTCTAGATAGAGAAGAACCCTAGCAAAATTTCAGCAGGATAAACTAAAGGAGACCTGTATCTAGACATGTCATCATGAAACTATCAGACAACAAAGACAGAAGGAAACTGGAGGACCGCAGAGGGAAACCATGACCACAAGCCCCACACTCCACACACAGTAGCAGATCCCAGTCAGGACTGGAGAGTGGAAGGTGAAGGCAACATGTTCATAATGTTGAAAGAACCTCTGTATCCAGGGAAAAAATGCCCCCCAAATAGAAAACAAAATGAAGAAACTCATGAGGGAGGCCTGTCTTATGCACAATATTGAAGAGTTCTTTGGGCTGACATAAAGGATACTGGATACCAATTCAAGTTCACATGATACATACAATTAAACTAAGTGCCAAAGAAGTATTTTAGTAGGTGTAAAATAAAGATTAAAAAAGATAAAAAAAAAAAGAGTTGGCCACATGTTTGTTTGTTTCTTAAAACATGGAAGCTAGCACTCTGTGGGGTGAGGTGCAACTTTTACTTTTTGCTTCATTCTCTTCTTGTATTATTCTCTTCAATGTATTATTTGTACCCTTTACAAGCAGATGTTTTACTTTCTCAATTAGAATTATCTTTTTTAAACAATACTTTACCTTCAGTGAACCCTGAGTATATTGTTTTACTAACGAGTTCAAACAAGATTTCAAAGTCCAGGCCAACCTTGTTCTGGAAGGTCCAATCGAGTAAGTAAAGCAAATAAAATTCTTTGCTTCTAAAAAGAAGTCCACAGAAATGTCCTTTTTTGAAACATTTATTCCTGCTATTGGTTGCTACTCGTTGGCCACTCAATAGAATTTTAGCCCAAAGACCAAGAATAGTGGCACCTTGCTCAGGCTACATCTATAACTTCAGATTCTCAGGGAAACAAATGTTCAAGTAAGCCATGGTGATGCGACTGACTGTTCTCAGCCAAAGGAGCCAGAGGCCTACTCTGCTTTTCACGCCTTGCTACCTCCTGTTCTCACCCCACTTTGATTTCCTACCTTAAGAGCGCTAACTGGCCCTCTGACATCAGAAGGAGAAACCAACAAGCAAGGGAATTTGTGGACCCTTGTGAGCATCTGAGTGGGCTTGTCTGTGTCTGGGACAGAAGTGGGTACAGGGATCAAGACAGCTCAGTCTCCTTCCTCCTACTGGAGCTCAACCAACACTGGACTCTGAAGGAGAGTCCACAGGAGGGGACATAATGACCTCGCCAGAAGCAAGGCAGCTCTGGTAAACCTCAAAGGCAAGAAAGGCCCTGACTCCCTTGCCCTTCTCCATAGAGAATTCCTTACTCCAGGAAAGTTAACAGACAGACACCAGCACCATAGCTACAGCTCAAAAGGTAATACAATGGCTTGTTCATATTGATAAAAGATGACTCAGAGGAAAACTGACTTAGAATGCAGTGCAGAGTCTCATTTTTACATAAATAAAAAGATAAAGGACCATAACCCAGATCAACAAATGGTTTGGATGCATTGCAGTTTTTATTTTCTTCATTTTCCACCACATTTTCTGCTGTTCACAAAGATATATTACCAATTTAAAATTATAATATATAAATATCTTCCATATATTGCTCATTAGAAGACAGAAAAAGTCTCTTCTTGCTACTCGTATGCATGCACACAAACACACACACACACACACACACACAAAATGTTCACATAATACGTGCAAACATCCCTAATAGAAAAGTAGATGTGGGGCTGGGGATTTAGCTCAGCGGCATAAGCACCTGCCTTGCAAGCAGGCAGTCATGAGTTCGATCCCCGGTACTGATTTATAAAAAAAAAAGAAAGAAAGAAAACAGAAAAGTAGATGTGAGATGTATGAAAAAAGAATTCATGCACATAAGATCCAAAGAAATGTAGAGATCCACCGTGCTTCTGGATAAACAATTTCCTTTGAAAAATACAGATTCTTCTAAATTTAATTCATTGATATAAGACAAATCCAATAAAATCCCTAGTGTATTTTTTTAATTTGACAGGATTCTGAAGAATAATTTCTACCAAATTTCAGACAATAAAAATATGTTTCTTTAAAAATAATAAGAAATTAACTTTCTCAGAACTGGTAAAATTCCTGCTTTAGCTTTTTTTTCTTTCTTCCACTAAATTAACCAGTTATTTTTGACAAAGTAGAATAAAAACCAGAAGGCTGGATTTCCACCTCTATCCTCAATAGTTTCCAAGTAGTAACTAGTTTAGTAGTAGTGTATTAGGGCTGATTAGATAAGTCTCTTGATCAGAAATTAAGAGACATTTTCTGCTTAAGCTGGCCCTTTCCTGAAATGGCCAGTGCATAACACTTATCCTTACGTAAGTCCTACTCAAACAAACTCATGCAAGCGTAATGTGAATAGCCCTTATCATTCCAACTCTTATCAAGCAGAAGGACAGTTCCCCACCCCCTGCACTGGTCTAGGAATTTAAAAAAATAAAGGAAACTTTTTCATGTTTTGCAGAATTAAAGTGTCCCTGGATGTGTTCACTGGCACTGTGACAGATGCCAGCAACCAAGGTATTGACAGAATCCAGCTTTATCTTTGTCAGGTCACTGGATGAAACTTCTAAGACACAGCTGATATAGGGATCCCTTTGAAATGATAGCCAACACAGGTAATGATAAACAAACACCTTGGCCAGGGAGAGGGAAGGTGGCATTGGTTGGTAAGTTACCCTCCTCTCAAAGATCATTATAAAAGCTTTGCATTCCCATAAATCATTCTCACAAGTCAGTGGTGAAATCCTAAAGAAGCCATGGGTGCCCTTGGCATCACCATCGCCCTGTTGGTGTGGGTGGTCACGCTCATGCTGATATCCATCTGGAAGCAAATCCACAGCAGCTGGAACTTACCCCCTGGACCTTTCCCACTTCCTATTATTGGGAATCTTCTACAGCTGGATGTAAAGAATATCCCCCAGTCCTTCACCAAGGTAAGAGAAATATTTTAATTTTAGAGAGAATAAGTCAGGAATTATATCTAGCACATGGATGTTCAATTCATTGCCAAACTAATTTTTCTAATACCAGCCTGTTTTGACTTGATTGAATACTATCATCTAGTAAGGAGTGATCTTCAGAACAGTTACCTACTGGCAAACAGTGGTCACAGAGGAAGGGCTTTGGTTTCACAGACCAGGGAGGCCCTACCTACTTGGCATCATTATGGACATACTGGTTGCCAAGGTGCCAAAGGCCAGCAATGGTTGCATCTGGCCAATGTCCATCATTTGATAGCAAAAAGCAAGATGAAGAATAGAGTGCTGGACTGGCTTACATTTCATCAGAATAACAACACTTGCCTCCCACAGCTGCTGTGAGTATTGTGCAAGTTAATCAAGGTCACAGTGTCAGCAGGCACAGAGCTGATACTTGTGTATAGCAGGGAGTATCATTTTACACTGCAGAGGGGGCATTTGTGGCTGAGACACGGGGTTGAGGCCATCAGGCAGCACCATGGGGTCCTGGCCTTGATTTTGGAAGCAACCAAAGGATCATGGGTGCAGCAGCTACAAGGAGGACCTCAAAGTGGCAAAATATCCGGTGCTGATGTCCAGGCTGGAGGATCTTCTTACGTTAAGCTGGACAAAAGTGACCTTTGTCACCTGGTGGACCCACAATAACCATAAATCTAATCTGATGGGCCTCAATAACAGTAATGGTGGGGAGACAGTCTAGAGCAGGGCATTTTCTCTGCATGCTTCAGCCCACTCTGTATGGTGATCCCCACAGCTGGCCAAGCGCTACGGGCCTGTGTTCACCCTGTACCTGGGCTCACGGCGCACAGTGGTCCTCCATGGCTACAAAGCAGTGAAGGAAGTGCTGCTGACCCACAAGAATGAATTCTCTGGCCGAGGAGAAATCCCTGCAATCGAAGAATACAAGGACAAGGGTAAGTCTGCTTTCTGGCAGTAAGTGGGGGCACGCCCATGGTGACAATGATGGCTGCACCCCATCCAGCTGGTCAAATCCTATCTCAACAATAATAGTGGCAGCCACAGAATGAAGATGAAAGGCAAAAAGACACTTCAGAAATTGGTGATAGTTTGTGTGTGGGTGCAAGCCACTGTGTGTAGTGCTGTGTACCCAAATGGTTGGGACTTCCTTACACCCAAGTTGACTACAGAAAGATAGAGCCTGAGCCAGCCTCCCCCAGAATCCTGCCTCCAGTTCTGTACTTGCTGGGATTCCCTCTACTCTCAGTTTCAACTGCTCTGTAGAGTAAATGGTTCATTGATCCCGGTCTTCTCACCTACCATTTGATATTCAAACCTGATGGGCACTGTTATGTGGGATTTTAAATCGTTGATCTCAACCATGTGCTCTGCTCTTGGTTTTTCTGCATGCCTTCCCAGTCTATTTTTTACAAGCAGTGGCATTTAATCTCTCTCCAGCGCTGAGGTTTGTTTCACTGTGCTGTCTCAGTAAAAACAAAATTAACTGTCTTGGCCCTTATCATCACCTCAGCAGTTGTTGGAGGAAGATTCCATAAAATGACACCCAATTGTAAAGGGCACAGTTCTGATTTGGCCCTATATCTCATGCCACTCATGGGTGCAAGCATTTATGTTGGAGGTCACAGCAGAGGGTCCAGGATTTGCCTCTCCACTGGTTGGGCTCAAAGGTTCTTTGCTGCCTGTGCCTCAGTGTCCCAAAGTTCTACTTTTATTCACCCTACATGGCCCAGATTGACTCTGGATAAAGTAAGAGAAGGAGGATAGAACATATAAAGGTAAATGCAAGGGCCTCTTGGAATATAAGGCCTGCTGGTAGGAGCTGGCTGAGACTGGGCAGGGTGAGCTGGACCCCAGGGGGATTAAAGGACTTCACAGAGATGAGGTGAAGAAGACAATAGTCAGGGTGACTCAGGTCCATATCTGGAAAAAAAAAATGTTTAGAGGATTGACTATGATAGGGATGCAACACTTTTAAAGGAAAACAATTTAGATGGGCTGATTCTCAGGGTCTTTGGGCTACAGGAGGAACCAACAGGCCACATGCTAAGAAGACAGACAGAGAAGAACAGGATTTTAGCCACCAGGTAGCACATGAAAGGAACACTATTCAGTCTTTCCAGCTCAGTGGTCCCCACATTGGGAAGTCCTGTGACCCTCAGATCTCAGTCAAGCCATTGCAATGAAGCCAGAAATTTAAGTTGTAATGCTGGTAGTATATGAGATAAAAGCCATGAGAACAGACAGGCTGCCCAAGAATTGTGTTAAGGAGGAAGGAGGTGAGAATTCTTCTTGGAGTGGCCACATGAAGTTTTATTTGACATGGAAAGGTTCCGAGGAAAGTGGAAAATCAAAGAAAATAAACTGCTGTCGTGTAGAAGGCATTCGGCAGGGATTAAATGTGCCAAAGAAGCACAGAACATCCCATCCTCCCTCCTGTGTTTCTTCTACAACTGCACACTCAGCCCACTACTCTCAAAACCCTGTTAGGCCAATTCTCAGTCCAGCCCCATTTCTCCAAGAACTGGACATTTGAAGTAACCTTTGCTGGAACCTCTTCCGTAGGAATTATTTTCAATAATGGACCCACCTGGAAGGATGTCCGGCGGTTTTCCCTGAGCGTACTCCGAGACTATGGGATGGGAAAACAGGGCAACGAGGCCCGGATCCAGAGGGAGGCCCAGTTCCTGCTGGAGGAGCTCAGGAAGACTCAGGGTGTGTATTTTGCAGCAGACAGCAGGGGAAGGGGAATCCTGGCCAGGCCCCCAGGCTGCATTTAAAGCCTGCAAACAGTCAGCAGCTAAAGAGACCCTGGGCAGGGGGTAGTCATGATAGTCTTCCTGACCTGCGTTTCCAGCTCTACTTCTGAGGCACACAAGGGTGGGCAGGTGTGATTGCTGTGCCCAAGATAGCACTAAAAAGTAAAGAAAACCTGAGTCGGCCAAAATACATACTTTTGTGCTTGTTAAATTTAGGCAATGTTTAGCATAGGCATTGCGAAGATTTTGGCCCACTGAGTTGTGGATCAGGAAAAGTGGTGATCATGTTCATCCTTCTCATCCCACATGAATGCTGACATTTTACCTGTTTTCCAGGCCAGCCTTTTGACCCTACCTTTCTCATCGGCGGTGCTCCTTTCAATGTCATAGCTGACATCCTCTTCCACAGGCGCTTTGACTACAAGGACAAGACCTGCCTGAGGCTCATGCACTTGTTCAATGAGGACTTTTACCTCCTCAGTACGCCCTGGTTGCAGGTGAAGCCACTTCCCTCTTTTTGGCCCATCTTCACTTAAATAGTTTACATTAGATGAAAGAGAAGGAAAAGTGCGATAGGCCTGCAAAAGCCTGCGATCAGGAGAATTTCAGAGGGTGTCTGCCTAGGTAGCTATGAAAGGCATCTACATGGCCCTCATTTTCTAACCTCAGAGAATATATCAACCCATGTGTGCACATTTTCACTACTGAAAGTATACTGTCTGTAAGAATTGCCTCTAGCAGATAGAGGCAGCCGCAAACATTCTAAATAATACAATAATGGCCATTGTAAATTCAGGTTTGGGGGGGGGTTATTACTTCAGCACACAAAAAGTATGCTGTAACCAGAAAAAAATAGTAATATAATTCTCTCTTACTTCAGCTTTACAATAATTTTTCACAATACCTACGCTACATGCCTGGAAGCCATAGAAAAGTAATAAAAAATGTGTCTGAAATAAAAGCTTACACATTAGAAAGAGCTAAGGAAAACCTTCAGTCACTGGATATCGATTGCCCTCGGGATGTCACTGACTGCCTGCTCGCAGAAATGGAGAAGGTAACCACAATCTGCCACATGAGGTGGTCTTCCTGGGGTGGAATAGGGTATATACACTTTTCACACTGATGTGATGATCCATCCACTTGCTTGTGTCCCAGTGATATACTGTAGTCTTACACAAGCACACTAGGCTTGATCTCCCCACTCCATTCTTCATACATGGAAGCACAAGGATGAGTGAACTGACCATGGGTCTCTTGTTTTAGCTCCTCCAGTCCAGGCTGGGCTGTAATCCTTTGACAATCATATCTTGTCTGAGAAGCCCTCATCATTCCTTGTTTATACTTATTCCCTAATTGTGGCTGATTTCTAGGCATTCCCCATCCTCATCTGCCTCCCATCCAGCCCTCTAGGATCTTTCCTCTTATTCAAACTGGTGAGATCTCTACTTCTTTCCCTCTGCTGTGGGCTGAAAAGAACATGTGAATTCCATGCTGATTTACCCTACATAGCTTCCTAGGCTTTCTGAGAACCCAGCCATCAGTTTAGTGCCTTCCTGCCTCTCCTTGCCCTATGGCCCAAAGGCACCAGCCTCAGGGCAGAAGGATCACTCTGGCACTGTTGGCAAAGACAGAGTCTGGTGGCCTGAATAAAGATCTCTGTTTGCCCTCAGCCTGTTTCTTGGAAGCCTGTTTTCCCAGGTGTGAGGCAGAGATGCTTGAGTCCTGGTTGCACTGTCTCTTATATAAACCCTAGATCCTCCCTTATGAATGGCAGCAGGTACCCCCTTCCCAGCCACCCAAAGACATCCTCTCACCAGGTCCCTGTCTTCTCCCACTTTGAAGGAAAAACGCAGTGGAAAGCCTCCTGTGTACACAATGGAAAATATTTCTGTGACCCTGGCTGACTTGTTCTTTGCGGGAACGGAGACTACCAGCACCACTTTGAGATACGGCCTTCTGATTCTCATGAAGTACCCAGAGATTGAAGGTACATAAATGATAAGTGAGATGCCTGTGAAGCATGGTTGAGTCTCACCACATGACCAGCCTTGTTCATGTTAGGCTCCAGTGTTCAGATGCTTGTTAACTTTGGACACTCTGGGATTGCTCCACCAGGGCCACTGGGCACAAAAATTATACAGAAAAGGATCACCCACACTGAAGTGAAGATAAGGAGTATGTCAGCATTCTGCTCTCTAAATAACTTATTTATGGTTATAAAAGTAATGCTCTAGTTGCCACTGAGGAAGTTAGCCATATAGGATAGTGGAAGTCAGGGAAAAATGTTGCAGTCCTCCTGGGATATCTTGTCCCACAGAAATTAAAGAGAAAATTCAAAGAAAGGCAATCTGTCACTCTGGAACCCCTTTGCTCCCTCCACAGGGCTACCAGAAGCACCTGTGCAGGTAAGACTCGGTGTCTAGAAGAGCAAGGGTAGTCTGGGCATGGTGTGCAGAGGGCCAGGTCCTCACCTGGGCAACATAACCACAATAAGAGATCACTCAAACATAAATAGACCAATAGAATCAACATCCAAAAGGAAACAATGAGCCCTGAAGCCCCTGCCACTTACTGGCTTGGGCACAGAGGAAGACAGCTACTGCCCAGAGCATAACGCCAGAACCATTTCTGCTGCCAATAAGAATATGGTTCTCCCTAAATGCTGGGTGGGCATGGTGGTCACCCTGCAATATGCAGTGTTCTCAAGGTTTTCAGTTCTTGAAAGTTGATGTGGGATATGAAGTAATTTCCAAAAAATATATGAATGCATGACCAGTCCAAGGTAAGGCTCTGATCTCCGATCTTTTTGTTGGCAAAATCTGCGCTTTTCTATTGCACAGAAATGTGAATGATGAAGTTTAAGTCCAAGGACCATGTCCAGGTACCTTGTATGGATTTGCAACAGGCGTAAAAGCTTTTGACCACTTTGTATTAGGGGAACCATGGGCTAAAAAATCTTTTAATGAATAACTATGAGGAATTCAATATAAACAAAGATATACACCTACTGCGAAATTTAAGATAAATTAACATTTTACAATATTTACTTCAGAATTCTCAAGAGGAAAATATGTTAGAGTCAGATAAACATGGCTTCATGCCTTTCTGCCTCTCCCTCTACCGAAATGGCAATGTTTTAGTATTGCTGTGTGTTGCTCCCATGTGTGACTCCATGTATTTAATATTAAGTAAATTATAACATAGACTCATATTACTATTCTATGTGTTTTACCTGAGTACCATGCTATACATACCTTTTTGCAATTTGCTTTGTCATTCACCAGATTATAAAATCCCATAGGAAATATCAAGCACAAGTTAAGAAACTTGCCAAAGGGTACTGTTACCTCTTTCATAAAAAGAGATTCTGGGACTTCAAGTAGGCAGTACCTGTCTAATTCATTCCACCACTTCCTTTCATACTTTTTAGAAATACACAATAAACTAGTTTTGGGTAATCATTAATGCAAAGATTTCTCTCCAAGAAAATATTTGTGAGACTTTTTTTTATTCTCATCTCCTGACACGAAGAGAACTAGATAAACCATAATGAGCTTAAGATCATGGATACTAAACTTTCTGTAGACTATAAATAATACCATAGAATTTGTCACTTATTGATAATTGTTGGTAATTTACTCAATAATTCAAAAGGCCTGGTGTAGCTAGCACTGCTTAGCATGCTCCAAAAACATCCACTGATGAGTCTGAAGAAAGGATGGGAAGGTGATTAGACAGACATGAAGATGGATGGATGGTTGAATGAGGAGTGGATGGTTAGATGAATACATGGGTAGGTGAGTAGATAAGTAGTAGATCAGTAGATAGGTGGGTGTCAAACTGTGTGGATGGATAGAGGGAGGGATAATTAGACAAATGGGTAAATGATAGATGAATGTCTAGCCTGGGATCAGCCCTTCAAGTTTATTTTACTTATCTTGGCAGAAAAACTTCATGAAGAAATTGACAGGGTGATTGGACCAACACGCATCCCTGCTGTCAAGGACAGGTTAGAGATGCCCTACATGGATGCTGTAGTACATGAGATTCAACGATTCATCAACCTTGTGCCTTCTAACTTGCCCCATGAAGCTACCCAAGACACCATGCTCCAAGGATACCTCATCCCCAAGGTCAGACATGAGCTGGAATGCACACCATGAACCCCATCCTATTAGCCCATCACTTCGTCTTCCAGGATCAGGATAGAGATCCACAGGCTCCTCTCTGTCAGGTGTGGCTAGATGGCTGGGCCAAGTCAGTTCCTCGCTCTGCAGAGTAATTCTTCCTCATCAGTCGTAGTATGGACCTAGGACCGCAAAAATGGAAAAACACTGGGAAGGTCCCTCTTCTGATGGCACCTGAGATTTGCAGAAAATTCTACACCAGGAACCAATAGCTGCAGCATCCAGCCCATCCTATGAAAAGTTTAGGGATTTTCTCACGTTTAGACCTGACCACTAACTGCTTTCTATTGTCCTTAAATAAACAACTCTCACAGCTGCAAAGATTCTATCCTATGCAACATAAAATTCAAACAGTCTTCTTCACTACGGTCCCCAGGTAAAAGACTACGTTTTGTTAACTTGACTAATGGAAACACCTATGCTTCCCTCAGGGTACAGTCATCATTCCGACCCTGGATTCCCTTTTATATGACAGCCAAGAATTCCCAGATCCAGAGCAGTTTAAACCAGAGCACTTTCTAAATGAAAATGGCAAGTTCAAATACAGTGACTATTTCAAGGCTTTTTCTGCAGGTAAGTAGAGTTCAGAGACATCACTTTGTCTAGGCAGTTTCACCTGTGCTCATCTCTACTCCATGTATGTTCTGGCAAATAAGAACATTACAGAGCCACTGCATTCCTTGTTTCTATTTAAAATATGATCCAAGTGTGCTCCTGCATATTCAGAGAAGTTAAATGATATTTTTGCCAGATATCTTGAAGATGAAGTGTTTTTGGAGGGACATTTGTCTCCTTCATCTCTTTCTATTTTAACAGATTTTAGTGAAAATCTCTCAAAACCACATGACTGGAGGAGGCTAAACCAGGACAATTGCAAGACCAAAGCTAGCCTATGCAACTTAGTAAACAAGACCTTGTCTCATATTATAAATTAGAAAAATGGAGTCAAGCACTAAGCTCAATACTCAGTACTGCAAAAACAAACAAACACTATATTACCTAATCATCCATAACTTTAAACAAGGGTTACTAAATGGACTCTGACTTTTGGTCACCTGAAATCATAGGAAACATCAAAGCTGTCCTGGGATGTGGCCCTTCTGGAACCCTTGGCCCCTTTCCCAGGGCCTTGCCTCAGTCCTGGTGAAGGAAGATCCTCCAGGCAGCTTTCAGGCTTTGGCGGCTAACCTGGCCCTATTTACTTCCTATAGGGCATTGTGTTAAACCGGTCATTAATATTCTTGTTCCTCAGTATGTTTTATAGTTCTTTCAGTAGATGAGGAGATTAAATCCTGCTTTAGGATGGAGTTGTCCCACAGCCCCCTCCCAGCCCTCTTCTTGCTAGCCCACTATTAAGACATTGTCTTTCTGAGCCTCTGTCTCATCAATGCTGTTTTTACTTCTAGGAAAACGGGTGTGTGTTGGAGAAGGCCTGGCCCGTATGGAATTGTTTTTGCTTTTGACTGCCATTCTACAGCATTTTAATCTGAAGTCTCTTGTTGAACCAAAGGATATTGACCTGAAACCTATCGCAATTGGCTTTGGCTGCATTCCACCACCCTTCAAACTCTGTGTCATTCCCCGCTCACAAGTGTAAGGAAAACACCTATCCCCTGAGTGCAGCCTATGAGAGCCTCTTTTAGCTCAGAAAGATGCATCTCAGTCAGTAAGGACCAGCAGCTCCACAAGAGTGAATTAGACCAGAGACAGGCTTTTCAGAGTCAATCTTCAGATAACTTGCCACAAAATTCAAAGATTTGTTAAACTAAACATAAATCTGTTCAAGGATGTGTAGAAATCTGGGAAACAATGGTAACTAAGAATCTCCCACTTTGACTTTAACCTCCTCTGAAAAAGTAGGATTGTTTACTCACCACAGTCAGTATCTACAAAAGACAAATAAAAAGCAGTAGGAGTAGTGTAGAGAAGGCAGGATTTATTAGCCTGATCTAAAGCAGTTCCACTCTCATCTTGTTCCTTATCTGCACTATGAGCATCAGTCTTACAGTATGTATCTTATGGTAAAATATGCATATAACAGTAAGTATAGTGACCTGTTATCATCTCTTAATATTAAAATGCGACACTGTACCTGAAAAAAGATTCTAGGCAAAGAGATGCCCTTGGTGGAATGAAAACAGATTAACGATATACCAAGTTTCAGTGGATTAAATGTTAATATAGTAAAATAGAAGAGAAGCTAAGAGGATCCTATTCCCTTCAGCCCATATACACCAATGAGCCCTTGATATGCACACCACTGTGGCTCATTTTCTCCTTCCTCCTATAAAGATGATAGCAGACCCTTTCCCTGCCACACTTCCCAGCACACTATGCATTCTGTATAAATACTCCTTAATAAAATGTGTGGTTCTTCAAGCCAGAAGCTCCACATCTTTCAACCTCTCTCGTAATGTTCTTGCCTCTTTCTTATAAGAATTTCATTGAGCCCCTTCACAATCCAGAATAATCTGAGCTAAAGATTGTGAATTTAATCATATGTCCAAAGTTCCTTTTATCTTCCTAGGTACATAGAAATTACCAAAGCTGAATCAAGACAATATAAAAATCCTAAATAAACCAATATCAATCATTGAAATCATGGGTGTAATTAAAAACTTACCAACAACAAAAACCCCAGGCCTGAGACATTCACTGCTGAATTCTACAAAAAATTTAGAGAAGACTTAGCACCATTTCTTCTCAAACTCATCAATGAAATTGAAAGGGAATCAATAATCCCAAATTCATTCCTGGAATCAAGCATTATCCTGGAGAAGGACCCAACTAAGATACACAATTACAGGCCAATCTCCCTAATGAACATAATGCAAAAATCTTCAATAAGATACTGACAGACAGAATGCAGCAAATTATCAAGAAGATTATGCACCATGACCAAGTGGGATATATCCCAGGGATTCAAGGATAGTTCAACATAAGTGAGTCAATAAATGAAATATACCATATTAACAGAACTAAGGACAAAAAATCACATGATCATCTCAATTAGATTAATAAAAAAGCTTTTGACAAAGTCCAGCACCCATTCATTTAAAAAAAAACGCACATAAAATTGGAATAGATGATCTTTATCTCAATCTGATAAAAATTATCTATGACAAACCAACAACTAACATCATACTAAGTGAAAAAAATAGAAATCTTTCTCTCTAAAACCAGGAACAAGACATGGATGTCCACTTTGTCTACTCTTGTTCAACATGGTCATGGAAACTTTAGCCAAAGCATTAGACAAGAGAAACAAATAAAAGGAATAATGATAGAAAAGGCAGAAGTCAAATTATCATTATTTGCAGATGATGTGATACTCTAAATAAAAAAACCCAAAAACTCCACTAAAAAAACTCTTATATTTAATAAGCAAATTCAATAGCATAGCTGTATACAAAGTCAACACTCAAAAATGAATAAGCTTCCTGTACGTAAATAACAAATTCACTGAGAGAGGAACTGGGAAAACAACACTTTTCACAATAGCATCCAAAAGAATGAAATATCTAGGAATCAATCTACTGAAGGATGTAAACAACCTTTCTACACTGAAAACTACAGTACTCTGAAAAGGAAATTAAAGAGAGTATCAGAAAACGGACAGACATGTCTTATTTCTGGGTAGGAAGAATCAATATACTAAAAATGGTCATTCTTCTGAAACTGTTGTACATATTTAATACAATTCTGATCAAAATTTCAATAGCATAGGGGCTGGGGATTTAGCTCAGCACCGTAAGTGCCTGCCTGTTAGGCACCAGGTTACAAGTTCAGTCCTCGGTACCAAAAAAAAATTTTTAATAGCATATCTCACAGAATTAGAGAAAGCAATCCTGAAATTCATCTGAAGCCAGAAGACCTAGAGTAGCAAAGGCAATTCTGGACCACAAAGGCAAGACAAGGGGCATCACAATCTCTGACTTACAATTATACAATAAAGCTGCTGTGATTTAAAAAATAAACAGCACAGTATTGGCAAAAAAAAAAAAAGACCTAATGATCATTGGAGCAGATTACAAGATGCAGAAGCAACTCCAGACATATGAAGCTACCTTATCTTTGACAAAAGTACCAAACACATTCACTGGAAGAAAGCATCTTCAATAAATGGTGCTGGAAAAACTGGCTCTGCACATACTGAACATTAAAATTGGACCCATATCTTTCACCATGCACTAAACTGAATTCAAAATGGATCAAAGATCTAGATATTAAAACAGAAACATTAAATCTCGTCTGGAAAATAGACATCACTGTAGGCAAAGACTTCATAAACAAAACAACCATCACACAGAAACTATCACAAAGAATCAGCAACTGGAATTTCATTTTATTAAAAAGCTTTTGCACATCAAGGAAACCACCTACGTAGTGAGGAGACAACCCACAATGTGGGAAAAAGTGTTTGCCAGTTGTTCCTCAGACAAGGGATTGCCATCAAGAACATAAAAAAAAAAAAAAAAAAAAAAACCCAAAAAGTCAGACCTCCCAAATATAAAGACTCAATCCAACAATGAGCATGTGAGATGAATACACACTTCTCAGATGAAGAAATACAAACAGCAAATAAATATACGAAAAAATGTTTAACATCACTGGTCATTCAAGAGATGCAAATTAAAACAACACTGAGATTTCGCCTTACCCCAGAAAGAACGGCTATCCTCAAGAAATCAAACCAATAACAAATTCTGAGGGACTGTGGGGAAAAGGAACCCTTCTCCACTGTTGGTGGGAGTGCAGACTGGTACAATCACTGTGGAAATCAGTGTGGAGATCAAAAAACTAGGATTGGAGGTCCCATTTGATCCAGCTGTTCCCCTTTTGGATATTGCTCCAAAAGAATAAAAAATGTAGTACCATAATGATATATGTGCACCCATATATCACTGCAACACAATTTGTATTAGCTAAGTGTTGGAAATAACCCAAAGGCCAAGCAACCAAGGAAATGAATAAAAAGATGTGATCTTTTGCCATGACCCAATGTGGCTTTTGAGCTTCTTGGGGTTAAGGACTGCGAGAGGATGAGAAAAATAAAGAAAAGACAAAGCTGGGGTCAGATGGAGCCCTTATCCTCCTGATGGGAGGAAAGGAACTGCTCAACCACTGTAGTACCTTTTTTTATGTACTGGGAAAGATGATGTCAATTTCAGCCCCTCTGCCTAGCAACCCATTGCTTGGCAGGCCCAAGCCCCTTGCCTTCTTGGTGCTGGAACAACTTGTTTACGCAGCTTGTTTCGGTCTTTCTGTTTTTTCTGGGCTGGGCTTGCTTTAGCCCACACATGGGATCCATCTCTAGCCTCAATGGCTCCCTACAATGTTTTTGTATATTGGAGTACTACTCAGTCATAGAGAAACATAAACTGGAGACCTTCATAGGTAAGTGGATGCCACTCAAGACCATATTTATAAGTGTTATAAACCTGTTATAAACCAGATGCCCATGTGTAAACATTGCATTGCCTCCCTAGTGTAAGAATCTGAAAGAGTAAATAAGATCCAAAATGTACAATAGATACTATAAAATGGGAAGAAGCTTCAAAAGGAAAGAGAAACTAAGATGGGGGAGTAGGTAAAAGAAGGAAGGGGAAAAAAGAATATATATATACATATATATGATAGTTAAGATAATTACACTACTAATTTCTCTTAGTTCATTGAAAAGAAAGGTTTGTACTAATATTGTTTGAATAATTGAGTGACTAATTTAAAGATAACAATAAGCAATGAATTAACCAGTGGTTAATTTTATTTTCTTGTTTCAAATTTTTGAGTTTTTTCTCTCTTTAAAATAAAACAATAAAAAATTCCCTTTTTTAACATATTCAAAGTTTCTTGAGATTTGGATTTGGTAATCTCTGGGGGCCATCATCCTGCTGAACCACCATCTACTTCAGCCACTTTGAGCCACTACTTAAAAATCAACATTGACAGACACGTTGACAGATCAAAGGACCAGTGGCTCCACTGGAGGCTCCTGAATTTCTCAGGAGCCAACTCCACAGTGGCAAGATTCCCTGTTTCCAGCAGAAAATATATTAAATATATTAGCTGCTTTGGGGGAGTGAGAAAGTTTTTGAGGTAAGAGACACCTGAGAAAACTTCCTAAGTGCCGGTAGCAATGAGAAAATGTTGGAAAGCAGTGTGAAGCCTTTGCAGATTATAGTTTTACTGATCAAAGCATCACCCCTGGCTGCTAGAAGTCAAAGGCTGACATCCTGGTCAGTGGAATTCCAAACTACATTGACTTAGTGTTCTCCCACCCACATCTGATTTATCACAGGTCCCATAGTCTCCTCAATGAAGAAGTGTCAATAGAAGATAGGATAAAGAAGAGAAAGAATCCTTAGTCATTGCTTAAGAAGTGATCAGAGAACTGGGGTAGGAAGTTTGATTCAACTCCAAGAGGATACATTCAAATTCTGATTTCAGCAAAAATGCCTGCTCAGCACCAGGCTCTATTTGCAGGTGATAAACACCAGTGGCCCAGACTTTTGAGATGCCCCCAGCATTTGCCTATTGTTAATGTTTTCCCTCAGTTATTCACAAAGATCCACAGGGTAGTCTGAATATTCTCACCTCTTCCTACTCCTGTCTGATGGTACCGCAAAACCCACCATCACTTTACACACCACATCTTTACTGGCCACAAGTCCCTGTGGCCTTCCTAACAGTCCAAGTCATTCCTTCTGCTATGTCTATCTTGAAAGCAGTGGTATATAGTGGGGAAGCCCAAAGTGTCAGGGACTGCCAACAAGAACATCAGCATATTCATCTTTGAAGGAACATGACTCAGAGCTCAGAAGGCTGGATGAGGTTAAGAATCCTCTGAAGCTTTGCTGTGTCAGTTACATTTGTCCATAAAAGACTCACAGGCAATCCCTGGGTCTGCTCTTCTCATTCTCTTGGCTCTCCAAACTTTAATGCCACTGACATTCCTAAAATTCAGTCTCTTGAGCTACAATTTCAGATATCGTCTCAACTACCCTAGTGATTTCAAAATAACATCCACACATGGCAATACCCAAGGGCCCCCATACTCACTACAAACCCATTTTTTCTCAGTATTTTCCCCTTTTCTTAGCACTGCTGAAGCATGATTCATACACAATAAAATGTATCCACTTTCTATATATACTGCTTTATGACCCTATCCTAAGTACACTGCCTTCCTCTCTCACCTTGACCAACACGGCTCCAGGACACCTTACACATTAAGTCATCCAGTGTGTGGTTTTTGGTGTGCCTATATTTGAGTTTTTTCACTTAATATGTTTTTGAGATTCATCCATATGTTGTGTTGTGTGAGTTAGCATTGCAGTTTTTTATTGCCTTGTAGCATTTTTTGTATGAGGGTGTCTTAATTTGTTACTCATAACACTGTGTTC